GATTTTGTCGTGTTTCCTACTTATAGGTGTAGGGGGAGGATACCGATGTAAAAGTCTTGTTTTTCGTTTAAATGAGGTTTATGTTGTGCTCCTTTTGAGCTTTTGTCGTGTCGTGTGCTTTTTTCTGTTGTCATTTTAAGCTTCTTGTATTTTCTACTTTTTAGGGGGCGGGGGGAGGGGGGAACATAAAATGATGTCTGTGTGTGTGAGGGGGGGGGAGGATAATTGAAAAGTCAAAATATGCTTTCAGCACCCTATTATTAAACGAGGCTCTGGAAAGCTACAACAACATGATACTTTGAAACAAAATGCCACTTCAGAGACAGATCACCTCATAAATGTTTGGGAAATGTTGAGTTGAAATTATTACAAGAAAAAAAAGAAGTCCACGTTAAAAACTACCATGTGCACGCATTCCCTCGGCCCAAAGTCTCACCCAGGGTTGGTGCTGAGACACCGCCAACTCAGAGGTAATCTAGTACGGCTTTTATACGTTATATGGACACACACAATTTCCCCTGTAACTCCATAGACATTCGTTAAGATACTTTAGCTGGCAAGGTACTTTGACAGTAATTCACTAATTAGCCACTTTCGTCGAAGGAACAGAAAAGCACTTAAGATATCTTCGTAAATAATGTACCTGTACTTGAGTAACGAATGTACTGAGTATACCCTTGTCGAGATCGATCAGACACCCCCTTGTCTTAATTGGAAATGCATGACGTAGAACAATTACATTGCAAAGTCAAGTGCTAAAGCATGGGTATATGTGTTCGATCGAAATCTTATCCCGCCTCTCTAAAAGCTTTCACCTGAAGTGAATAATAGGTTCATTTTCAGTGAAAGTATTAACAAACTAGCTGCCCGCATGCCTTTATCACGACGACTTACAGCTTAGTGCTTAGACTACCATACATTGCGTTCGATCGCCACAACAGTCACCATTTATTGACGATAGTCTTTCTGTTATTTCATTTTTGGAACATATTATTCTTATCTTTTCCAGACAGTCCAGTTGAATGTTGTTTCAAAACGCGTCACAAGCTCCCACGTGGAATTTTACACAAACTTTAGGGTCACTGGGAATTTGAAACAGAATCGTTTCTTTCGTTGCTTGAATTTTACCCTGCACGTCTAGTTGTTGTTAGCAAAGTTAAAGGGAGACACTACAAAAGGCCGAAATTATGTATGAAAATTTGGATTTCACATTAAAAATTATTATTTAGCCTGATTTTGGCTGACCGGGAGGGTGTCTGTGTGTGTGTATTTTTGTTTGTTTGTTTGTTTGTTTGTTTGTTTGTTGCTGTGGTTTTTTTGGGGGGTGGATGTTTTGTCGTTATTTTTGTGTTTTTTTAGGGGGGGGGGGGGGGG